AAAAAAGCCCTTACATATGAATGAAATGCATCAACTACGCCTATGGAAAAGTGATCATATAGAATCATAGCCCAAAATGAGTAACACAGTGAGCTTGAATTAGAAAAATTAAGATTCTAAATAAATTCCTAGAGAGTGTTACAATCAAGGGGGTCAATGGAAATTTTTCTCTACATGCAAGCTGATCATTAACAGACTACTAACTCTGAATTGGAAAGATAAGATGAGAACAGTAGAGCTACACTTTTCCTATGCACAGTCACACACAGTATCCACCCCAACCCTACAATTTTTTAAAATTTGGAAATGAAAAGAATCCAAATATACACAGCCACTACCACCAGAAAGGTGTGAGACAGAAAAGAATAGCAAGTTGAATCAAAGATCTAACTCACCTGTCCTGGTTCCTGTCCACACCTCTGCCCGCACACGCGCACCCACCCGCACGCACACCCGCAGTTCCTGCCCCTCAGTGGCTGCTCAGAGACTCCGGTCTTTATTCCGGGTCTCAGGCCAGGCGCTGCCCCGTGAGCTCTCACCCTGAGGTCAGGGCCCCCTGGGCTTTTCTCACAGGTGCTGCCTCCCTCCCTGCTCCCTCCCAGGCAGCCTTCTGCACTGCACAGAGCACCTTCATTTCCCCGTGTAGGAAAACATTTCGAGTCGATGGATCCTGTTTCCCAAGTGTTAATCTACATTAGACTCTCCCTATGTGTCTTTAAGCTTGCACTGGAGCCAGGGCTTGGATGACCAGAGCTCCAGGCAGAGAGGGGTGGGTGAGCAGAGCAGGAAATGAGTGATCTAGGATGAGGAGTATGGGATCCCTCCTGTGCTATCCCCAGAATGCAGAATTGGAGTTAAAAGATTGACAAAGGCAGAAAGACAGGCGTGGAAACAGCTCTAAAAGGACAGAGGAGAAAAACCAAAGAGGAGGGAGGATCTGATGTGTGGAGCAGTCACTTAGGCCTCCTGGGGACAGTGACAGCATGAACACCTGGCACATCCAGAGACAGGGACACACGAAAGAGAAGGAAATCAGACCCCTGGGAGAGCCGGGCCAACACCATCCCCTGTGGAAACCAAGAACCAGGAAATAAACACGGAGGGTGGGGTGAGGCCACAGCCAGGCTGACCAGGCCACAGGAAGCCAGCGCTGTCCATGGTCTGGGACACAGAACAAGGTCCTGCAGGAGTCTAAGTCCCCAGGTCACACAGGGACAAGGCTCTGCTGGAGGGACAAGGACAGGGGAGCAGAGATGACCCCGCAGAGGGACCAGGTTAGAGCCCAGCCAGCACCGAGCACCAACCTTGGCTCCTCCTCGCAGCCTTCCGTCCCCACCTCAGAGACTCAGCACAGCACAGTGAGGGAGGTTCTCAGAGCTCCCTCTGCCTCTGCCCCAACTGTAGGAACCACCTGTAATTAACCAGCAGCCCTTCTGTCAGGAATCTGAGGAACACAAGTTTACATTCAGTCTTCCTTTCCATGTCCGTGTGGATTTCCAAGAGAAGCTGAAAGAAACGTCGGCCTCTGAGCTGAGAGAGTGTCACCGGTGCAAGCATGAATCGGAGAAGGCCAGCGTGGGCGGTACATGAGTTTATTAGGGTCGCGTACAGAGCAGGGGCATGTGGGGATCCCAGAAGTGCTGAGGTCACCAACCCCAGTGCTCATCAAATGGTTTTAGGGCTTTAATTAAAACAAGGGTGGGATAAAGCAGGAAGCATCCTGGAAAAAGCTGTGTCTGCTCCACAGAAGGCCAGCGTGCGGTACATGAGTTTATTAGGGTCGCGTACAGAGCAGGGGCATGTGGGGATCCCAGAAGTGCTGAGGTCACCAACCCCAGTGCTCATCAAATGGTTTTAGGGCTTTAATTAAAACAAGGGTGGGATAAAGAGGGAAGCATCCTGGAAAAAGCTGTGTCTGCTCCACTCCATTTATATCTTCATCAGGAAACTCTGCTGTCTTCGTGAAGCACTGGGGGCAGGGGCTTGGGCTGCAGCCTGGCACAGCCTCAGCTCTCGGGGCCCAGCAGGAGATGGAGACACAGCCGGGCCTGGCTGTGCTGGCCTGTGAGCCAGGTGGGAGGCTGAAACAGGAGGATCACTGAGAGTCCAAGGGCAACCTTGCTACATAGTGAGCTCAAGGCCACCTCAACTGCATAGTGAGACCCAGTGTCAAAGAACAAAACAAACAACAAAGATGGTGTTACTTTGGTCTCGTTTTGGAGAACAATTCTCACTACAGCAGGAAAGTAAGAAGCAGCTTAGGGCACCTGATGCTGACACAGGGAGAGAGGTCAGCCCCGCCTGTGCTGAAACAGGAGAGTTGGGCAGGAAGGGAACCCGGGTCACTGTGGGGACAGGGGGAGCTGATCTCGCCTGATCCCCCATTAGGCCAGCAGGAATGGGGACACGGCCAGAAGCCATCTGCAGACACAGCACCCAGGGGTTCTCGGGGGGCACAGATCTTGTCCCTCAGCCCCACACCCGCAGCTCTCTGTGCGCCACACAGAAGAGCCACAAGCGCACTCAGGGGAGGCCGTGCACAGGGCAGAGCCTGAGCACCCTGCTGCCCCCTCCAGGGCTCACACTCAGTGTGTGTGACCGGGCCTGGCCCCGTCTCCCTCTCCCACTGGGGCTCAGGCCTCACCTGCTCACGTCATGAGAGATGAGTCCGAGCCCTGGGCGCGGTCACTGCCTGGGGTAGGAAACACAGCCAGACGCAGTCAGAGCCCACAGACCCGGGGCTGAGGGAGGGACCGTGGGGTGGGCCTCCCCATGCTCCCAACTGCAGCACCCCAGGCCCTCAGCATCACCCCCACACTCACCTGCAGCCGCAGTGTAGCTCGCTCCTTTCCCACCTGAGGGAAGCAAATGCCCTGTGAGAAGCCAGGGAGGAGGCAGGGCCTTGACAGCCTGCAGGAAGGGCCCAGGCCCGGACCCCGGGGAAGTTTCCAGCAGGGGGGCCGCAGACCCAGGGAAGGACAGGAGGCCCGAGGAAGGACATGTTCCCCCACTGCCCTCCTGGAGCTCTGTCCTCAGCAGGGACCTTCCCCTCTGACCCCTGACTGCTGGACTCGGGGCCCCATCACCACACCCATCCGGTGACAAATCGTCCTTCCTGTTCCCTGTGCTTTGGAACAGAACAAGGGTCCCGGCCTGGCCTGCTCAGCACCTGTGAGTGGGTGCTGTTCACCACCCCGAGGTGGGCCCACTTCCCCCGGGTCTGAACAGAGCACGCAGACCCCACCTTCCTTACCGGCCCTCTTTCTCCTCCACATCACAACAGCCACCGCAGCTACAATGACCAGGACGCCGAGGAGGGCGGCAATGACCACGACGACTTCAACTCCTCTGGAGATGGTGGGAGGAAGAGGCCGCTCTGGAAGGGACGGGAGAGGAATGGGCTCCATGGCCGGGTCTCAGCCCTGAGCCCCCGGGACCCACAGGAAGTCTCCAGCTTTCCCTGACAGCAGGCCCTGTGCTCCGGTCCCCCTTACCCCAGGTCAGGGTGCGGGGCTCGGGCAGCCCCTCATGCTGCACACGGCACGTGTAATGCTGCTCCTCTCCCGAAGGCACCGCCACAGCCACCCACTTCTGGAAGGTTCCGTCCCCTGCAGGCCTGGTCTCCACCAGCTCCATGTCCTGGGTCAGGTCCTGCCCACCCCGCTGCCAGGTCAGGGAGATCTCGGCGGGGTAGAAGCCCAGGGCCCAGCACCTCAGGGTCACCTCTTCCTTGGAGACGGGGTGGCGGGTCACGTGAGTCTCTGGGGGGTCTGAGGGGAAGACAGGGAAAATCCAGACCCTCTGTGCTCTTCCTGGGCCACTCCGGCAGCGCTCACGTCACCATCCTGAGAGCGCACAGGACAAGTGGAGCTGGGGAGATGGCAAAACCCAGACAGCAGCAGGGACACAGGCTTCCGGGTAATCTGTTCCTTGGAACGTTGTAAGCCAGGGTGAGTCGGCCCGGGGCAGGGAAAGGGACCTCTAGTCCTGAGCGGGTGGAGACTCAGGGCTCAGAATAACTGCAGTCAGATCCCAAGGCTCTGGGTGTGGGCAGAGAACAAGCCTGAGAGGGCAGCGCTCAGTCTGCTGCCACGGAGGAAGGGGAGGGCTGAAGGGCGCCCCGGGGAGCTGCCCTCCTCCATCCGGGACAGCCTGGCTCTCCCGAGGGAAGGGCGGCTCCGGAGAGCGATCTGCTCCTGGCTGTGCGATCCCAGGAGCGCCGCTCCCCTCTGACGGAGAGGGCAGCAGCACTGGGAGAAGGTCCGGGCGGCAGCAGGAGGGTCTTCACCGCCCGGTACCTGCGCGCTGCAGCGTCTCATTCCCGTTCTCCAGGTGTCTGCGGAGCCACTCCACGCAGGTGCCCTCCAGGTAGGCCCTGGTGCTCTCTGCAGCACCGGCCTCCACCCACTTGCGCTGCGTGATCAGAGCCGCGGTGTCCGCCGCCACCCAGGAGCTCAGGTCCTCAGCGAGGGAGATGTAATCCGCGCCGTCGTAGGCGTGCTGCTCGTACCCGCGGAGGAGGCGCCCGTCCGACCCCACTTAGCAGCCGTACATGGTCTGGAGGGTGTGAGAGTCTGACCCCGC